CATTCCAGTTCTAGAAGAAATCTTAAAGCTCATCTGATCCTTGAGACATGATGTAGTGGGTGGTGGGGGGCCCTGGAAGTTCTTGACCAAGAGAGCACCATGCAGAAAGCTGCCTCCTAGGACCTATCTCACTTATGAGGGGGGTTTACTGTCATCGACTCTTAATATTGGGACTCTGGGACTCCCCAGTGAGTCACATCAGGAGGAGGAATGGGGCTGGAACAAGCGGAACATGGAGAGAAGGCCAGGCCCTCTCCTGCTCAAGTTGGCCCTGGTGTTACTCATCTAATAGGTAGCCGGCCTCATACTTGGTCCACGAGGGAGTGGACCTGTTGGTCCTCCGAGCCCACACCCTTTGTCTGGAGGCCACTCCTGACCGTAGCAGGTTTGCCCTGTTACAGTCCCATCATCGTTTGGCCCAGGTCCCGTCTGAGCTTCTCAACAGCTGGGGTCTGGCCCGCTCCATGCATCTCTGGCTGGGAAGCCTTTCCTGGCTCAACCCTCTATCTCGGGCAGGCCCTGTGTCCCGAGTCCCCATGGCCTGCCCCGCACCTTTTGCCTGTCCAGCCAGAAGTGGAGGCAGGCCTGGTGCATCGCTTGTGGCATGGCCTGCTCGCTGCTGTTCCCTGCCTGGGTGGTCACAAACACGCAGAAGCGGCACTTGGAGTCTTGCGGTAGCCATTCTCCCGGCAGGGACCCCAGAGCGGTGACATCTAGACAGGAAAAGGTCAACGTCACCTTGCACAGGTGTTCAGTTCCTGTCCTCTCTGGGGCAGGGGGACCAAAGAGGGAGGGGTCATGCAGGCCTGGGAAGGGGGGTGGGAGTGGGCAATGGAGGGCTGGTGCAGTAGGCTCACCTGGGCCAGTGCCATCCTCGCTGGAGCACCGGAGGACAAGGCCGCAGACCAGCTGGGGCAGCATGCGGCTCATCAGCACGTCCAGCAGGATGATAGTGTAGCGCTCGGCCAGGCACTGGCAGATGCCGCCCGCCACCAGGGGTACCACGTGGCACACTTGGGCCACAACGGGGGCCAGTACACCCTGGGGTGGGGCCGAGAGAGGGTGGGGTGGAACCTTCCTCTGCAAGATCTGCTCTGTGCTGGGCCCAGCTGGGAACCTTGTAGACATTTCCTTGTTCCCTTCTGAGAATTATTATGCTGTTTACATACAGATAAGGACACCGAGCATCCTAGGGTCTAGGGGACTTGCCCAGAGTCAATAAGTGAACACAGGAGCCAGGCTGTGGACCCAGCTCTGACTAACGACTGAAACTGCTGAAAGGGTCACAGCCAGTCTAGAGATGTGGGCGCCTCCAAGGTCACACAGCCTGGAGGGGGGTGGACCCACATCTGTGTCTTCTCCCTCCTGACCCATAGGATGGATTAGTCTGTGGCTCCTGGAGCCAGCATATCCCAGGTTCCAGGAGCTCCGGGAAAGCCAGGAGCTTCCCCACTCATCCCAAGTTCAAACACAAGGTCTGAGCTGAAGGGCAGGGCGGGAGGCCCCAAGAACGCTGGCTCATGTCTTCACGCCTTCGTTCACTCAACCAATACATGTAAAGGACACGCGACAAGCTGCCCCGCTACGAGTAGGCACAGGGAGGTGTATTGGCGTCATACCGTCCAAACAAGTATATTTCACCAAATGTACCCGCCTGCTTGCATGGGAACCCACACTGGGCCTCCAGATGATCCCCTCCTGTCAAAGGCCGGCCTATCCACTTGTGCACTGGGCTGCACCCCCCCCTTCACAAGTGTCCTCACCCTGCATTATCTCTCTCCTTCCTCATTACTTATCCCACGTGCCCACTGATTGGTCTCACTGGCATGTGAACATGCTAACATGGTCTCCGGCATTAGAAAGCCTCACCCATTCTCTGCTCCTCTTCCCAGAAAAACATCTTGAAAGACTTGTCCATGCTGTCTGCTCTACTCCTTTCCCTCCATTCTCCTTGGAGCCCACTCCACTTGGGCTTCTGTCCCCATCACTCCTCTGAAACAGCTCTCAAGGTCACAACAACCTCTGTTGCCAACCCCCTGGTCATGTCTTGTCTTGATCTCCCGGCAGCTTTCAGCCCAGGTGACCACTCCTTCCCTCTCCAAATGCCTTCTTCTTTTGGCTTCCATGACATCACGCCATGGTGTCCCCCTACTTCACTGGCTGTCCCTCGTCAGGCTCTTTTGCTGGCATTTGCCTTTGCTTGGCTGAGACTCCCCCTCCACTGTCCTCACCATGTCCCTGGATGATCCCACTCATTCCCTTGGATTCAAATCTTGTCCATAGCCAGCGGCTCTTAGGTTGATGTCTCTTACGTGACCTTTCACCTAAGGCTTGGGTGTTCGGCTGCTTGCCTGACATATCCTGTGTGTCACCCAGGCATCTCGACTTAACATGGGTAAGAGAGAACTTATTTTTCTGCCCAAGTATGTTTCTTCTCAAGTCGTCCATCTCAGCTGTTGGCATGACCAAAGACCCGGTTCCTCAAGCCAAAATCCACATCATTGAGTCCTCTCCGTCCTCACTCCCCACGCCCCTTTCATCACCAAGTCCTGTTGAGCCGACCTCCCAAACATAACCTGTCTACCCTTAGTTCCACCTCCTCTCATTTCTGTTTCTGCAGCAATCTAATTACTCTCCTTGCCTCGTTCCTGCCTCTCATCTGCCCAACGCATTCTTCAAGGAGCAGGAGAGTGGGCTTTCCCAGTGTGAATCAGCTAGCTCATGGCATCCCCTGCTTGAAACCCTTCACTTAGCTATAAATTACATTCAGAATAAAATGCAGTGTTTCTTAATTGGCCTTACCTTCCTGCGTGGCCCTGCCGTGCCTACCCCTCTGCTCCCTTCTCTGACCACTCTCCCCCTGGCTTGCCCGCTGGAGCCACACTGGCCTCCCTCGAGCTTGCCAACCGTGTTCTTGATTGAGGCCCTTTGTCTGTAAGGACCTTGTCGACCTTTAGCTCTCAACTCACTGGTCACCTCCTCATAGACTCTTCCTGACCAACCAGCCTAACCCCCACTCTTGTGTCACTGTCCATCACATCACTTTTTATATATATTTTTGGCTGGACAGGGCAATCTGAGCTGCCCTTCCCTTGACCCTGGTGACCCTCTCTCTGTGGCCACACCTGCCCACCCAGCCGTCCACTCACAGCCAGAACAGCCCAGCCGGTACCCAGCAGACCTGGGTTTCCCAAAGGGATCTCCTAGGTCTTGCAGCTGTGAGAGGCCACCAGGCCCTGATTATGGGTCTCTAAGAGGGTGGCCAGGCTCTGTGAACACAGCGCTAAGGAAAGCCAAGTTTGGAGGTGATCAGGGGGTCGTTTTCTACAGGCGCCTTTCCTAGGATGGACCAGCTGCCGCAGCTCCTAGGGACAGAAGACTAAAGGAGAGTGGCAGTGGACAGTATGGGCCCAGCCCCTCTGGGAAGGACCTACCTCAGCTGCTAACACAGGTTGGGCTATTGGTCCCAGCAGGTGCTTCCTCAGCCTGGAGCCTTCGCCCCAGAGTCTCCTCCTCAGAGTCTGACTCTTGCCACCTCCTCCCTCACCAGTCTGCATCCTAAACGTGCAAGCTGTTCCAACCCCTACCTGGACACCTCTCCACAATTGCCCACCCTATATGAGACCTGAAGTGTAAGCAGCCTGTTTGGAATTAGTGGCTTTGTGGAGAGCTGTAGCCAGGAATGTAGCTTGAGGTCTGCTCAGGGGCTTGTGCAAAGGGTGGAGAATTGTTTTAATTCTCTGCTCTGAACCTATCACTTTCTGGAAAAAATCTCTCCACCACAATGCAGACTCTGGAAAACAGGGGCCTCATCTGCTGCTGTGAACCCTCGGTGACCGGAGGGCCTGCCCATCTGCGAGCGGCCAAGGGGGCAGAGCCTCTCCTCACGTGGGCCCCATTTCAGGGCAGAACAGCACCGGGCGGTGATGGTCACTCCAGGCCTGGAAGATTCCCAGTTTGCACAGGTAGAGAAGGGAGTCCACCTGTGGAAGTGCTCCTTTTGAAAAGTTAAGGCACCTGTTCTACAGTGACCACTGGGGATGCTTCTCCATCAGGTGCTGAGCTGCTGTAGGACAAGACTGGGTCTTGCCCATTTTTGGGCTTTGACACTTCATAGTGCCTGCCTGGCACAGAGTGGGGGACTGACATTAGTTGACTAAACTCTAGCCCTGGCACCTACTGGGCCTGAGCCTGAGCTCCTGGGCCTCTGGGGTGGGGGCAATGCCCCTGACCCCCTGAGGAGGTGTGAGGAGGGGGTGTAAGGGGGCAGGGGAAAGTGGAGCTGTAAGGGGCCTCACCTTGGGAATCACAGCTTGTATCCGCTTGATCAAAGTCCTGCAAAGCCAGCAGAAGGGGAGGGGAATGGGGAACTGCTCCTCTGAGAGCTCCTAGGGGAGAGAAAGACAGGTAGAAGTGGGGTTGGGCACCAGAGAAGGCATCCCCCAGGCTCTGCCTCCTCTTCTGCCCCTCCCGCCTCAGGCCTTACCTAGAGCTGCTCATTTTCCTTCCAGTTCTGTTCCCACCCAGGGTCCAAGTGCTCAATGGCCTCAGCTGTGTCCTAGCTCTCTGGATCCCCACCTATCTGGTGTGAGGGGTCAGCAGTGCGGGGCCTCTCTCACCTGTGTCTGAGGCCTGGGCAGTGCCTGGAGGGCCCCAGGCAGCCTAGAAAGGACCTGCTTGCCCAGCAGAAGGTCCGACAGCTCTGGCTCCTGCCCTGGCTCTGGACGACCATGTCTGCACAGGCCCAGGTGCTTGCAGATGGCCCTTGGGTTCTAGGGAGCAACGCAGGATGAGGGTGGTTGGGGG